AATCCTAAACAAATTATATTTACTTCTGATAAAATAATCTTAGCAAAAATCTGGAAACCGTAGAAGAGATCCAGCATGGAGTAATTAAAGATAAGACTTTATATGTTTAATGAAGGACATTACTTTTTATCTATCTGGAAGACAGAGAAAGTGTGGACTTTTGGGTATTTTGTAAATCCGTTTGGAACCTTGACCTTTATCCTTGACATTTAACCTTGACATTTATTTTGAGGAAAATGAGGAAGATCTACACCATTTTTTTTTAAACATATTCCAAGTATACCTGCTTGGAAACTCTGTCAGTCTGTACGTGACGTTTCTTTTACGGGCGAAACAATGGTAGTAATAAATAAACTATTTGTGAAACGTTTAATTGTCTTGTTTTTCTTCAAGTTTGTAAGTATAGAGTCTCATCAAGTACCGACGGCTTCAACTACAAATTTATAAGCTAATGTTAAACATTATTTCAATGTTTACTGACAGGTTATAGTTACGGTCATATGCGTATATAACTCAAGTAAGCTTATTATCATATACATAAATCATTGATGATTAAAGAGGTTAGGCTGAGTCACCTTTTTAACGTACCAAAATGCGGGCCGAAAGGTCCAAGGTTTGAGTCTGTGATACGCCCCTGAATATTCTCCACACTTTCAATTGTGGGAGAATCATAAAAGTGACGCGAGTTTCCTTATTTGAATAAGAGTAGCTGTGGGTGTTAGTGGTCGTGGGTGCTACTTTTATCTGATCATCAGTTCAAAATTAAAGACGTCCATGCCTGAACATTTGAGTCCATGATCCGACTATTTTTACTCCATATTTTGCACAAGGTGTTGCTCATTGTGCAAATACAATACGGTATCGTTTATTTATAGGGTAAAATTTCATACCTAAAATTATGAGGATAATAGAAAAAAATCCTTCCAACGTTACGGGAAAATGAGGCTATGTAATGCCTAATGCGAATTTTACCAACTCGCTGTTTATAACCTTTATTTCAGAATAAAAATAGATAGGGTTTGGATAATCTTCGTCGTTGATTCGTTTATCGAAGTTCTACCAAAGAGTTAGGACATGACAAGACGATGCTACGTTGTTTTCAATAATGCGATCTTTAGGACTGAGAGAGTTGTGAAATTTTATTTACCTGATAACCGATCGGAAAACATACAAGAATATATATTCATACTCTTATACTAAATTTACGTGTACAGAATTACCATAAAACACCAGCGTTCATTATATGAGAAGCTTGGAATAATCATATCGTTTGGATATATGTTAGCCGAATTCTTGCACAGATCTTGCCCCCCATTGGCATAGCGGTATGTCTGCGGACTTACAACGCTAGAAACCGGGTTTCGATACCCGTGGTGGGCAGAGCACAGATAGCCCATTGTGTTGCTTTGTGCTTAACTTCAAACAAACAAACAATGCACAGATCTTAAAACGTAGCGTTAAATTTCGAAACGGTGAGGAGTGGAATTCTCCGAAACTAGTCTGGTTCACAGACACACCCACAATGCAAGAATAGACCATTCCAAGCTTTTACTTGTTGTTAAACAAATGTTTAAACAACTCTATTCAATAACGTTAAACAGTTTAAGAGTTCTGAGCCTACCTCGAAGCTTGACAAGTTGTTTCAGATCTTCAATCTGATTCTTGGTGTATCGCCGTCGGAAATACTTGAAAGGGTTTTTCGTTGTACAAAACTTGTTTTTTGTACAACGAAAAACCTTTTCAAATAATCATATCCTTTGGATATAGCTAGTTGTATATAATGACCAACTAAGGACAGTTTACTTTTGGGTAACATCAGCTGTTGGTCAATAGCTGATTTAGTTGTTGTTAAGCGCAAACTACATGATGGGCTATCTGTGCTCTGCTCACCACAGCTATCGAAACCTGAATGTTAGCATCGTAAGCCAATAGACTTACCGTTGATCCAATGGAGAACATTAATAAATATAGTGATGTTTAGCCAGAAATATTTGAATAACATTTTATAATGACCATTTATGTGCAGTAGTTTTGGGCAGTGTCAGCTATTATCCAACCTACTTGGTCAATAAAGTCATGTTTAGCCAGTAATCCACAAATGTTTTTTTATTTATTTATTTTTTGTTTTTTTTTATAAATGGTAAAGATATGGAAAGATGTTTGAATAAATCAGACACACATTTTCGAACCTTAATGACACTCTAAAAAAAAGTTACCAAAATTAATTTCTTTCATTAATACAATCATAAGTTTAATACAGTTCTACCGTGTCTAACAAAATTATGAAAATATCAACATGTACAAATTATAATTATTGTTTTGGTAAATGTTCTTCAATTAATCTAGTTATCATTTATAATGATGAAAAGAAGAACAAAATGTTCATGTTTTTTTTTATATATTTTACATATTTTTTCACCTTTTTAACAGGACCGACTGTCGCCATTTTGATGCTTTTAGCAAGCTTGAATAGTTGTGTCAACCCATGGATATATCTGGCCTTCAACTACAACCTAGTCACAGCTCTAAGAGAAGTGTGTTGCCAAACCAGCTCCAAGAGTTTTTCTTCTCAGGTTCCTGAAAACACCGATAATAACACTTTTAGTCGAAGTGAGCGCTGCAGTAGTTACCCATTGAGTGTAAGAACTGGTTCACGTCACAAGTTCCCGGATGGTTCCACCACACGAACAAGGAAAAGACTCTGTCGAGAGTTAGGCTCCAAGAACGAGAGTACTGATGTTGGAGAAAACAGGGGTTCTGTTACACAAACTGAAACAACTAGTGAACCAGGAAAGTTTGTCACGCGTGACAAAGATAAAACACTATGTTAAATAACACGAAAAATATTTATCTCTGACTTAACGATTACTATAATTGAAGAAAAATACTCATCCGAACCAATGTTTTATATTCTGCATTTAGAATGAAACGTAAAATTTAATAGACTCGTATATTTAAAGCTGGTGACATTCATGTAATCATGGGGCATAGAGCATTTATGTGTATGTAGATGAAAACTCTACAAACAGTGCAGTAGTAAATGTTTTATGGAGAGACAAAATAAGCTTTCAATTGAATTACGTATGTCTTACAAGACTACGTCATGGCTGACACCATGATCATAGTAATCCACGGCTGCCTAGAGACGGTCTTTAGTTATCTGTAGATTTAGAGTTGTCATGGTAACTATGTTTAATAAGTGTTTTATGGAGAGACAAAATAAGCCTTCAATTGAATCACGTATGTCCTACAAGACTACGTCATGGCTGACACCATGATCATAGTAATCCACGGTTGTCTAGAGACGGTCTTGAGTTACCTGTAGATTTAGAGTTGTCATGGTAACTATGTTTAATAAGTGTTTTATGGATCGTAATAACACCTTAGGTGTTCTTAGGATAATAGTTGAAATATTCAATAAAACTTTTCTTAATTCAAATAAGAATTACGTAGAACATTTTCTTTATTGGTGGTTATTAAGCTCGAAGAGCCATCTGGTGAGAAAATTCACGCTCGCTCACTCACTTTTATAAGAGCTAATTACGTTTGTTCCTGTCAGTATAGTATAGTCTTGGGTTAAGTAACTGTATGTACGTTTGTATTTTGTAGTCTTAAGCTATGTCAGAATATAATATTTACTGTAGTGGAAACTTTATTGTTAGTTTTGTTTTCGTAATGCAGTACATTTCAAAATAATATAGATTTATCATATGAAATTGTATATGAAAATA